AATAATTTGATGATTTTTTTTTTTTTTTTAGCAAATAATCTAATGCAAATATTTGTCGTGATATTTAAAAAAAAAAAATACGCACTTGTACGCATTTTCTATACGAGTCACAAGTTCCGGTTTATAAATTTCTAACTCTAAAGAGTAACATCCGTGGAACGAATTCCAGCGCTCATCTGAGCCGGCTTGTCGTTGGAGAAAGTCGAGCAAATCACAGGCATGGCGGCGCGAGTCGATTTTTCGAAACGTCAGATATACAAGTTGTCAGATGTGCAAGTCAATTTCTAAATCCATTCCGTGAATATTCGATATCTTTCTTTCCTAATATCCGAAATACAAAAATAGAGAAAGATCAAATATTTTAATATCGTGCAATTGAATATCTTTTCGTAAAGAAATTTTATTAATTAATTAACACGCACGCGAAATCATTTTGTTAGAAAATTATAAGCATAGATAAGTCTAATATATTGTGGTTCCAACTAATTGTGAATTGAAATAATTTTTTTTTTTTTTTTTTTACTATCAAAATTACGTAAAAACAAATTAAAATTTTTTTTTAAATTCTGACATGGCGTTAAAATGTGGATACGATAGCACGATCGAATTATTTATTCGTGAAATGAAAGTTGTTTGCTGTTTTAATTTTTACGAAAAGAAATCAAGAGAAAGAGAAAGAGAGAGAGAGGATAATGTCTTTATTCATGTTGTGATAGAATTGAAACGAAAAAAATTAAAATTATACGATTATTTGTTTCGAATCTTTCAATTTTAAATTTTTCGAATAATAAAAAAAAAAAAAAAGAAAAAAGAATCTCGTCCTTGTATTTCGTCTTAACCCCAATAATAATGGAAAAAAAAAAAAAAAAAAGAGAAAAAGAATTTTGCCCATGCGTTTCGTCCTAATTTTAATGAATGATCGAAGAGGCGATAGTAATTACCAGACGAACGATAACCTTCGACTGCACGACTTATCGCTGGTGCGCATAATCTATCACACAGATACAGTAATCTTGGTTTAACATTTCATTGTGACACGGTGACGAAGTGGCGGGATAACCAAGCCAATATAAATGTTTCATCGGTCGAAAGCGAATCCGATTCGGAAACTGCACTTTTATACGCGTACTCCTTTCAATATTGCCGTATCACGATTTCATTTGTCATTTACATTTTGCTGTGTACGAGTAAAAGGAAAACTGACACTGTCACGCTTCTCTCTCTCTTTCTCTTTTTCTCTTTCTCTTCCATTCTTTTTTTATTCTTTTCTATTTTATGATCGAGCAGAGTCACGGAAAACTAGATTTATCAAATACACGAAAAATATAATTTTCGAAACGTGCAAAGTTTCCTTTCGAACGAAGAATAAATTAAATAATATAAATAAATAGCGTTATTTATAGAATTTAATTCTATTCACGTCATATTTCTTTTTAACGTTTAAAAATTTTAACGTCAAAAATTTTTTACTTTTCGCCATCGAAGTGTTCAATTTCTTTCTTGCCTCGATCTATTAATTCCTACTGAAAAAAGATTCGTCTTATATTTATCGAAATTAAACGTATTTTATACATAAAAAATATATAGTACTATTTTTACGTTTATATTACTATATATTACTAAACACCATTTATATATTATACTTTGAACAACAAACAATTTAAAAATCATACTATCCTTGCTTCGCGCTATAAAAAAATTCCCTTACTCGTATAATTTCCCCAGCATATTTCAACGTATTTTTCCCCGCGGCACTGACGACACCGAGGACAAGAGCCGGCCCGGTTGGTAAAAATGCGCATCGCTGTGCGAAAACGCGAATAGGTGAATGCACGCGTATTTCTGCTCGATCATAAGAAAACGCGTGGGCATCAAACGCGAGGCAGGAACGAAGGAGGAGGCGAAACAGGTGCTATATTTACCTTGGATGTCGGCGGTCCTGGCTCGAGGTGCGCTCGATTATCTTCTACCGCGCTTGTCCATGGAAGGAAAGGAACCCAAAAACTTCGTTCTTCCTTTCTTCAATTATACATCCGATCTCCGTGCAACGTTCTCCCCGACACGAAAAACATTCGACACTTTCGTCACTGCCCAACTATTGTACGCTATGTCGATTATCTTCTCTCTCGAAATTTTCTTCTTCCTTCCTGTGTCACGATCAATTTCCTCTTTTTCTCTTGATTTCACGGTTTTTTTTGTTTTTTCTTTTTTTCTTTTTTTTTTTTTTTTATATATATCCGCACACGACACTTTTATCCCCTCTCCGCTTCACAAGTTTACTCCTCCCTTCCCCGTCACTTACAGCTCACCCGTCGTGCACGATCTCCTCTCACTCCCTCTCCCTCTCTCTCTCTCTTTCTTTCTCTCTTTGTCTAGCGTTGGCCAGAGTTGATCAATAACTCGCGCTTCTGAGTTTCTTTCGGGGATTCCCAGCTGGATCTCGAAGGCGCCCGATCAAATTACCTTCGATCGCCGGCGGAGGAAGAGTGCTCTCTATCTGCGCAACACGTGCAAATTATATTTGATTGGAGGGGGGGAAGGAGAGAAAGTATTATTGTTGGAGGGAGGAAAATACTGTTCCCTGTTCCTATCCGACGGCCGCGGACGAAACGACTTTCTTGCGCGAATTTCATTCGTTTCTCTCTTCTTTTTTTTTTATTTATACGTATGTTTGTATATTTTGTCTGACACGCAAATGCAGTTTAAAGATATATACATTTTTTTTTTCAAATTAAACTTGTTCCAAGTTAAAAAGGAGAAAAAAAAAAAAAATTAAAATTCGAATTCGAGGAATATACTTTTTACTTTACCTAACTAATCACTACTTTGAAAATGATTTATATCTAATCGATTTTCTAATAATGCGATCATTATCTGATATTAATTACTAGAAGATTAATTTTTTCGCTTAAAGCGACTTTTTACAACGCGCAAAATAATGAACACGGGAATTGCCCGAATTTTAATCGCAGCATTGAATCTTCTTATATACGAGAGAAATAAAGCATGCACGATTTCTATAATTCGTATATCGCATAAAATGTTAATCGCTTTGCACGGGAATCT